AGGTAAATAAAAGCAGTTTATTAATTTTTGATTGTTACTTTTTTAATATAAAAATGAATTAAAAAAATATAAAAACTATTTACTTTTCTTTTTATTTATTTATTATATTAATTTATTTAATTTTTTTTTTAATTTTTCCCATCTAATTAAAAAATTAATTTTATCTTTTTACTTCAATATTTAAAAGTAATAATTATATTGATGCTATTGGTGTTTCAGGTTTAGGTTCTGCTTTAGCAAATTGCACTAATCTCATAAATTTAATACTTGAACTTAGGTAAAAAAGGTTTTTTTGTTCTTGATTGTGATGTTTTTAAATACAAAAAAAATTAAAATAAAAATACTATTTTAATAATTTAAGATTTATTTTTCTCTTTTTTTATTCTGCTTCTGTTTTTTTTATATCTTTCTTAATTTATTTTTTATTTTTTATTTTCAAATTTTACTTCATTATTAATTAATTAATTTATTTATTTCTTATTTTTTAATATTTTTTCTTCATTTTTCCCTTCTAACTAATTAATTAATTATATATTTTTTCATCAATATTTAAAAAGTGGTAATAAAATTGGTAATGAATGTGGATCAGAGTTATGCTCAGCTTTAGCAAATTGTACAAATCTCAAAAATTTAACACTTTTACTAAGGTAAAAATGGTTTGTTTATTTATTTTGGAGTGTTATACTTTTTAATATAAAAATGAATTAAAAACAAACAACATAACTAACTCTTTACATTTATGATTTATTTTTTTTCTCTTTTAGCTATGTTTTTCAAAAATCTTTATTGATTTAACTCATTTGTTTTTAGATTTTTAACTTTTAATTGTATTATCAATTAATTCATTTTTTATTATTTCATATTTTTTCTATATTTTTTCCTTCAACAAACAATCAATTACTTATTTTTTTTCTTAAATATTTAAAAAGTTACAATTAAATTTATAAAATTGGTTCATTACACTTAGGTTTGGCTTCAGAAAATTACACTAATCTAACAAATTTGACACTTGAACTTAAGTAAAAATAGTTTATTTGTTTTAGATTATGATAATTTTCAATATAATAATTAATTTAAAACCATATACTCTTTTATTTATTTATTAACTTTTTATTTGATTTATTTTTCATTTTTGATATGCTTGTTAATTTAGCTAGCTAGCTTTTTTATTTTTTCATTTTTCATTTTTAACTTTTACTTTTATTATTGATTAGTTTATTTCTTATTATTTAATATTTTTTGTTCATTTTTTCCTTTTAACTAGTTTACAAATAAATTATATGTTTTTTCTTTAATATTTAAAAAGTGGCAACGAAATTGGTGATGAAGGTGTATCAGATTTATGTTTATTTTTACAAAATTTCACTAATCTCTCAAATTTGACACTTTAGCTACAGTAAAAGCATTTTATTTGTTTTGGATTGTGATTTTTTTTAATTTAAAAATGAATTTAAAATAATATAACTAACTTATTCTTTTTATTTATTTATTTACTTATTAGTTTTTATTTGATTTATTTTTCTAGTGTTTTTATGTTTATCTCTGTTAATTTAACTTATTTTTTTATTTTACAGTTTTGTTTTTAATATTTATTAATTAATTCATTACTAATGATTTCATATTTTTTGTTCATTTTTCCTTCTAACTAACTAATTAATTATATATTTTTTATTCAATATTTAATAAGAAGCAATCTAATTAGTGATAAAGGTGCATCAGTCTTAGGTTCTGCTTTAACAAGTTGTACTAATCTCATAACTTTGACTCTTAATCTTAGGTAAAAATAGTTTGTTTGTTTTGGGATATTTTTTAATATAAAAATGAATTTAAGACATAATAAATTTTTTTAAATTTATTATCATTTTATTTTATTTATTTTTTCTGTTTTTGTATTACTCTGCTTTTTTTTGTCATTGTTTATTTAACTCATTTTTCGATTTTAAATTTTAAATTTAAAATTTTTTTAATAATTAATTAATTGATTTCTTATAATTTCAAAATTTTTCTTTATATTCCTATCTAACTAACTAAATTAATTAATTATATATTTTTCTTCAATATTTAAAAAGTTGGAATTCAATTTGTGATCAAGGTGTATTAGACTTAGGTTTTGCTTTAACAAATTGCACTAATCTTTCAAATTTGGAAATTTAGATTTAGTAAAAACTGTTTATTTATTTAATTTAGATATATTTTATAATAAAAATCAATTTAAAACAAAATAATTAGCTCTTTTCATTTTTATTAACTTTTTATTTGATTTTTTTTTCTTTTTTTTTTTACATATTCATTATTTTTATTAATTTAAATTAAATTATAATAAAAGTTTCAACCAAATCAATGAACCATTGAAAGTAAAAAGCAAGTATCTTAGATTAAAAAGATTAGTTGTCTTTTAAATATGTATCTAGTATCGAAAAAAATGAATAAATTAAAAAATATTTGAACAATAGAATATTTGCTTTATATAATAACATTTTGTAATAGGATATTTAAACTAAAAAATAGATAAGTTTATTTAAAAAGCTTTCATTAAATTTAATTTCTAAAAAGTAAATATAAATTTAAGGCAAGTTTAAGAAGGAGTAAGTAAATGCTTGTTGCTTGTTTTTTTATTTTTCTTTATTAAAATGGAAGATATTATTTGTTTTATTAAATTTTAGGTAGTAGAAGAATAAAAAATACATTTATTATTAAAAAAGTGTATTTACATTTTTATTCGATAAGAAATAATTAATTAATTTATTTATTTATTTTTTGTTATAAAATCTCCACTAAATCTCCAGTAAAACTCCTTTAATATAAATTAGAGATTCTTATTTCGTATTTAATTTTTATGATATTTTTGAAAGTAGATTTAAAATTAAATAATCTTTCGTTTAATATCATTATTATGTAGTGTTTAAAAGCATATTTGTTTGTTATATTTATTTATTAAGTGATTATTTTTGTTACAACTGGTTAGTAATTAAAGCTAAATAAATAAATTAATTGATTAAAATTTGTTAAGAAAATAATTGTTATTAATTTTTATTATTATACAGTTTACAGTCTCCAAAATCCTAATTAATTATTAATATATTTAGTGTTAGATACTTACTTATTTTGTTTTTAGTAAATAAAGTCATTAATATGATAAGATAGATAAATATTTTGATTTATAGATAGATTAATTGATAGCTAACACCTTAAATTATTTATCAGCTTATAATTAAACTTTCATAATTCTCCAAAGCTTTGTGATGTATACATATTTTATTGATATTAGTAGAGTTATAAACTTTACTATTGAAAGTCTTCAAAACTTTGTAGCAGTTAATCATTTTCATCACTTTCATATATTATTTAATATTAAAACTCATTTTAGAAGAATTTTTTGAAATATTATTTCAAAATAAGAAATTCGATATTGTTTTAATAAGCTGAGCAGTTTTGTGTGTAAAAATAACTTCTTTAGACATAGGATTAGAGCTCATGTAAACATTTATTAATATCAGTTTGATATTTTTAAACAATTTATTGTAAGCAGTATTAGAGCTCATCTTAATCAAAATAGGATGAACGAGACTCAGCTTTTAATATCATTATTGCTTTTTCTTTTATTGTAAAGCAAGAGGGATTTAGTTAACTTGTTATGTTAAGAATAAACTTTTTATTTATTTTGTTAATTTTATTTTCCAACTTATTCATGCTATCTACAATTTATTTTATTTCATATTTAATTTATGAGCTATTAAACCTTGAATTATTTATGTTTCCCATTTTATTTTATATTTTCTTTTTTAATTGAATGTTTTTTATATTTAATTTTAATAAATATTGTTAGATTTTTTAGAATATATAAATAGATTTCTATCTGCTTATCTATCTATCTATACTAATTAATTTGATTAATAAATAACTTTTCTACTTATTTTTTTATTATAATTTAATTTTATTAGCTAACAAATTTCTGATAGAGATTAACTTAATCTAATAATTGATTAATAACTAACTATTTTCCATCAAAAACTAATATTTTATTCTCAAATCTATAACATTTATTTGTTTACAAAATTAACTTAGTATATAAATCAATAACTTAAATTTTAGTTATTTCTTCCAAAATTCTAAACTAAAATTCTAAAAAAGTCTTGGTTTTCATGAAATATATTAAGTCTAAATGATTTCTTCATTAAAATCATTATGAATTAATTTTAGATATTAATTTATCAAATATTTATTTATCTCTACAAGAAACCTATCTAAGTGGAGTTATAAAAGTAATTAATTCAATCAGTTTCTTTATATCAGATTTAATGTGTTAAAAATTGTTATTTAAAGTGAAAAAAAAATTGAAACTAAATTTAATCTAGAATATTTAATTTATTAGTCATCATCATTAAATAATAAATTCTAAACACCCCAATTCGAATAAACAAATGCATTTAAAACAAACAAAGAAACATTCATTTACTTAAATAGTAAAATTTATTTTAAAATAGTTTTTTTCATTTTTTATTTGTTCATAAAAATATTGTTTAAAAAAACAAAAAAATGAATTATAAATATCAAGCTAACAATTTAATCTTTCAGTTAATATCAATTAATAATTTTGTTTTTATTGTAATATTTTAATATTTTTATGTGGCCATGAATGATAAAACATGTTCCCTTACTTCATTTAATTTTGATAAATAGATAGATAGAAAGTAAATGTATTAATAAATAAAATCCTCTAAATAAAAACAAATTTTCTTTTTTTAAATTTCCTATTATTTGCCGCGATAACTATATATAACAGATCCTACTTATTTATAATCTTTTTTTCAGAAAAATAAAAATAATTAGTTTGATTGAATAGCTCTTTAAACCCATAATAACCATTTTAAATAATAGCATTTAATTAAATCAAATAATTTTCTGTAAATGAAAATTTTATCTTGTGTTTCTCGAACAAATTAATATTAAATAAATAATATGCGTTTTATACAAAATCTTAATGTATTTTTTTCAATTAAATTTAATTTAGATTTTGAGAGAAAAGCATTTAGTAAAATGATAAATTGAAAGAACAAATCTACTTCTATTAATTATATTTGATAAACAGATATTATAAAAATAAATTTTGGCACTAGATATCCCCACTTAAAAATCTTAATTAAAACTAAGATATAATTAACGATGCTTAATAATATCTATTTATCTATCTCACAAAAAGATATAATTGAATAGACATTTAATCTAAGCAACATGACCTATTTTAATTACAATAGTAATAATTTTTAAACAATAATCTCCTCCAATAAACAGATCCTTATTAATTTATTAATATTCCTGAGAAAACTAATTACTTTGATAAAAGATGCCATAGCAAGTACATTATAATCAAACATAGTCTTATGTCTAGCCAAGATATATTAGATATACTAATAATTGATAAATAAGAATTAGTTCTACAAATGACTCAATTACCACCATATAGACTACTTTTACTGAATTATAAGGTGATAAACTGTTTAACAGTTGGGTGAGTCAACCTGAAATTACTAAACTAATAACAAACCCAGTAAACGGTAACTATCAGCTGGAGTTTTGAGAAAAGTAGTAAGTTGATATTCTATTCCTTCAATAATTTAATTGAAAATGATTTGATAGAATAATTCTTTTAATAGATATATATCAATAACTTATTAATGAATATGTTATAATCAAGTTAAATAAAAACTCACTATAAATTATTCTTGTTAACTAAATTTCTGCAGATATATATGAGAACACCGCTAATGTAGAGATAATATTAGGACAACAAATTTAAGTTATTCACTTATGTGAAACCTTAAATTAAAACTCATTATCAACAATATCATTATTTTTACTCTTAAATTCGTTATACCATATTAAAAAATTTTAGAATCTCAATTAAAGCGAACTCAAATTCAAGAAACTGTAAGAGATCTTATATATCTAAATGAAATTAAACTGGAACAAGAACAGAAATCACTTTAAATACAATAATTTAAAAAAATATGATGATAATAATAATAATGAAATTAAATAAATAAATAGATTAATTGTTTATGATAGACACTGGTATGTACTTAATTTTTAACTAAGAAACTGAAATAAAAGAAATATTTTGAATTCTAACACATTTTCTAAGAATTCAAAAGAATTTTGTAGGAGAGGGATTATTTGAATATTTATTTGATAATTTATAAAATTGCTGTAATAGATGCTCATTACTTAGAATTAATAAGTTAAGAATTGAATAAATTAATAGAAAACTTCCTTATTTACAGAAATTGTAAAATTAGAAATATTTTGTTTGAATTCTAACACATTTTTTAATAATTCAAAGTTACTTTGTAGGAGACGTATTATTGTTAAGAATTGAATAAATTATTAGAAAATTTCTTTATTTAAAGAAATCGTAATATTAGAAATATTTTGTTTGAATTCTAAAACTTTTTCTAAGAATTCAAAAGAATTTTGTTGTAGACAGACTGCAAAACTTAATTGAAATTTTTATTTAACTATTTATAAATTTGTAAAATCTTATTTGAAATTTATATAATTAATAATTATTCATTTAATAAAATATTCAAAAAAAAATAAATATGTTAAAAAAGCGTTGTTGCTGTTGTATTAAGTAAAGTTATTATTTAGTTCAACTTCTAAATGTATAGAAATCTTTAGTTTAAGAGCCTTGCTTGCTTAAAGACTTAGAGTACAAATGCTATATCTTCAATAATGTGCTAAATGTAACTTTAAATTAGACCTTTTAGAGTTAATCTTAATAATAATACACTGATGCAGAATATTTCATTCCTGTAGACGACTATGTTTGCTTAGAATCTTTTGAAGCGAAATATAATGGCAAAACGGTAAAAGGATTAGTAACAGAAAAAGAAGCAGCAAAAAAAGAATACAAAGAGAATAAATAGTAAGGAAACTTAGTCTCTTATGCAAGCATTGAAAATAAAACAAAATCAGATTAAGTGGTAATAAAACTTGGAAATATTCCTCCATAAGAATAAATAGAAATACAAATTAAATTTTCCTAATAGCTTAATATGATTTTAAACAAATATTATACAGCATTCATTCCTATTTAGCATTTCGAGGAGATAATTTCAGCTGAAATGAATAAACCTAAGCTCACATTAGAATTGCTTTGTACAGGAAAGATTAAATTTGCTTAAACTAAAGGAATTCTCACAGAAAAAAAAATTATCAACGAAAACACAATTATTTTCAATTTGAGTGAGTCTATTGTCAAAAATGATTAAAATAAAATGAATTTACAATTTATTTACTCTTATGAGGGAATGTTTGATCCTTAAGTAATATTAGGATCAACTATGATGAATAATCATGCTGCTTAAAATAATAAAATTTAAGAAAAAAGATAATCAGCGCTAGTGTCATTTATTCCAAACTTTAATTCAGAGATATCATAAGAAATTGATGACTCTATGCAAGCAGCTTTAAATGATGGAAATGATTATTTATCAGATGAATTTTAGTAGAAAATAAATTAAGAGCTAATTGATCATTCGGAATCTTCAAGAAGTGAATTTATATTTTTATTAGATAGAAGTGGATCTATGAATGGAAGGCCAATAAAAAAAGCCACAGAAGCTCTTAATTTATTTCTAAAAAGTCTTCCACCTAACAGCTATTTTAATGTATATAGTTTTGGAACTAGATATGTACCAATGTTTCCGAATTCTGTCTAATACACAGGAAAATCTTTAGAAATAGCTTTGAAAAAAGTTAAAAACTTTAAGGCTAATCTTGGTAGAACAGATATTTTAAGTCCTTTAACAAACATCTTTGAAGTTTAAGAAAAAATAAATGGCTACAACAAATAAATATTTTTACTAACTGATGGAGGAGTAAAAAACCGTGACAAGGTTATTCGTCTAATTAAAAAAAACAATAAAAATAGCAGAATTAACTCCATAGGGTTTGGCTCTGGAGCCGATTAGCATTTAATAAATACAAGTGCCATAGCAGGTAAAGGGATATCTAAAATAATAGATATGGAGGAAGATTTATCAGAAGTAGTAATAGAAATGCTAGGAAATTGTATAACGCCTAGTCTTGATGATTTCAGTATTTCTTATGATACTTCAGTAGTTGAATCTACCTTCCCTGCTTCTACTAACTTCCCGAGCGTTTTTAAAGATGATATAATAAATATTCACTTTTTCTTCAAACCAAAAATTGAAATATCAAATTTGACTGAAAGCCAAAGACTAGTAAAAATTTAATATTATGATTCAAAATAAAAATAGTAAATTTAAAAAGAAATCAAATTAGATGTTCCTGATGCTTTTATCTCTAATGAAAGTCTTTAAGAGTCTATTTTTAAATTAGGAAAGAATATGCAATTAAACGAAATTTTTGTTTGCGAAGAAGAAGATAATGAGAATAGATATTTACAACAAGCTTTAGATTATTAATTATTAACTGAAAAAACTGCTCTCATTTGTGTTATATAAGAGGCAAATGATGCTCAAAAAGTGTAAATTTAAACTTAATAAAATTAAATAGAAGAAAAAAAAGGATTTTTAAAATCTTTATAAAAATAATATAAACCTGGCAAACCAAGTTTAGATTAAAAAGACAAAATCTTTTCAAAATTGAAAAGAGGTCGTGATATTAAGATTTCTTAACCAAAAATGAAGATGTGTGCAAAAAAAAAAGTAAAAGGTGTAGATGAAGAATTTGAAAAAGAATTCGAAGAAGATTTTGATTATGACAAACCCAGAAAGAGAAAAAGTGAGACAAAATCTATTAAAATAGAATAAAAAATAGTTTCTAAATTAAAAAATAACCAAGAAAATAATGAAAATATTCTATGTTCTAACTAAATATTTGAAGAAATACTTAATTTGGTTGATCATTTAGGTATTTGGAAGTATGAAAAGAATTTGATAGATAAATATCTTTCAAATAAGAAAGACGGGAATAAAAAGTTTGAAGATTTATCTTTTAATTTTACTAATAAAGATGCTCTTATGACATTATTTATACTATGCATTCTTGAACTCTTCCAAACCCATAATAAATCAAAATGGATTTTGATATTTAAAAAATCGCTGGCTTTTGTTAAAAAGAATATCAAGCAAAACAAAAAAATTGAAGACATTCAAGAAAGTTTAAAATAAATAATTTAATGAAAACTAATTTTATTCTAATTTTTTTTAGTATTTCAAAATAGAAATAAATATTTTTAATATTTAAATTTAAATGTAATTTTTATATTTTTAGATCGTTTAAAATGTTAAAAATAAATTAAATTGATGAAAGTGGTTTAACTTTTCATTTAAAAAATAAAATGCAATTAATTAAATTTAAAAAGGTAGAACAAAAAATAAATGGTTATAGTATGATTTATTTATTTATGATGTATTGAAGTTCTACTTATTTAGATTAATATTTAATTCAGAGCTAATTTTATTAAAAAATAAAATTACTATTTTTTACTTAAAAAAGTAAAATCAATTAAGGTTGCCATAGAATTTAGTTCATTAACTATTTATTTTGTTTGAATCATATTCATATGTTTTGGTTCTATTTATTAAAAATGTTTGTAAGATATTTTATTAATAGTAAATATCATAGCTTTATCATAAAAATCTATGTAACATTATGAGTATTTTATCTTGTTTTTTTTTATAATTTTATAATGATCTAATTTTTAATTTTTTCGAATTCATAATTAAAAGCTTAAAAATTAATTTTCTCTCTATTTTTGTTTACATTCAAAATTAATATTAACTTACTCGATTTAAATTAGCATAATAAATAATTAATATAAGCAAACAAAGTAAGTTGATTGATTGACTAAGCTAATTTAATATTTTACAAATTTACAATTAAAAAATACATTTTTAGTAATTTTTAAATAAATGAGTGAGTGAGGGTATTGAGTATGTTTTTATAAATTATATATAAATAAATAAGAATATTTAATATAGAGTAATACGATAATAATTAAAATTTTTAAGGTTTAAGATTATAATGGAAAATTGTTAATTTGTTTGTTGTTATTATTAAAATTTATTTTAATAAACTAAAGATTGGTTGTTAACTAATTAGTTTTATTTGATATGAAAATATCAGTCCATTATTACGCTCTCACATAATGAACCAATGTCATCTAAGGTGCCGACATGTTTTTGCTTTTTGTTTTATTTAATATCAGGGATCTAGAATTCATAAGCAAAATGATAGAATTTATTGATGTATCTTTCAAGGATGAGGTAATGGATATTGTTGGTATATTTTTAACCGCAGCTTTAAAGGGCAAGAGAAGCTTTGCAAATGTTGCATTGCAAATAATCTTAGAATTCTTCTATTTTTTAGTAGTATTATTATATATATTCACTATCAATATTTAAATCACTAGGAATAGAGCACTGAGTATCTTGATTATTAAAATTCTAAAAAAGAATAACTAAATTATATTTAACTTTTAATTAGGTTTTGTTTATTTATTTTCTAATATTTTTGTAAAATGATTTGTTTAATTCATAAAATTATTATTCAATGCTGTTAAAAATGTCAATCAGTTCTTTAATCTTTTCTATTTTTTGGTCTTTATCAACTGTATTTATGCAACCCATTTTATATTATTTATATTGATTTTTAGTTAGATTTTTAAATTGTTATTTAATTGTTTTGGGGGATTTATTTGTGTTATTTTTTTTCTTTTTAAATTAATTAATTTTATTCATTATATTAAGGAGTCATGAAGCGATTTTAATAATTAACAAAAGAAAAGCTTTATCAAAAAAATAGGAATCGTGAAGTTAATCAAAGTAATTATAACCAGAATCCTTTATCTATTTTTTATTCAAAATGTCTATTTCGATGACTTCAAATAATTATTACATTGAAATCTGATAATTTTACCTTCTCATTTTAAAAGCCCTAAATAAAAATATTCAAATTATTTTATGCAAAATTTTATTCAATTATTCTCAAAAATCATTTTAGAGAAATACTTTTCATAAAAAAAATATTTTAAAAGTTTTTTATTTTAAATAAATTTGCGCAAAATAGAAATATTGAGTAAATAAGTAAATATTGTATTTATTTGAATAAAGAGACGTGAATTTAGAGAGAATAACTTTCTTATCTAGTAATCTTAATTTAATTATCTATTTCCTCAAATTAAAGTAAAAATCAAAGTAAATCAAAAACTATATTTGTTTACATACAAACAATACAGCAAAGCAAACATATCTTATTGAATCTAATTTTATGCAGTTTTTTTGCGTTATTCAAGATAATTTTAAATATAATAATACTATTTTAAAATAATTAATTATTTTTATAAATAAGCGTATTCGAAACTCATTTTAGTTTTGCTGATGTACTAAAAATAGATTTAATTTATAATAAAACCAGGAATTTGATTATAATTAATAGTAGCAAATTATAATCACCTCTATTTTATTTATTAAATTATGATTATTGATAGATTTACATTAAATGGTACAAATTCAACAGTCTTAATAAACAACATAAATTTATAAAATAAAATTTTATCAAGTACCTATTGACATATTCAAGAATCCAAGATAATCTAAAGATAATTTCAATTATTATTATAATTTAATCATAATTTTACATATGGTAGCTATTACTTTTGAAATACAAATTAATATCTATCTGTATTTATTATAAAGAAATCTTTAATTTTTTGCTCTATATTATAAGTTAATTAATTTAGTTACTTTAAAGTGATATAGATTTTATCAATTATCCAATTAGATAAAGATAAATAAATTATTATTAACTACGAAAATTTATATTTAATAATAAGTAATGTGATGATATTTACATTTATTTTAATATATCATTACTACTTTTATCTCATTTTTTCATTATCCCGCAGCTTACAAACTTTATATAAATTTTAAAATCAAGGAGGAGATATTATAAATATTCATATTTAATATTATATAAAATTTTATGATAATACTTAGATAGATTTTGACAAGTGTAAAATTAATAACTATTTTAAATCAAATTGAAGCATTATTATTTATTATTTGTTTCACCTTAAATGATAATTAATTAGTCTTCTAACAAAAATTAATATTTAATTATACAAAATTTAATTATTTCATTTGAATAAATGTTATATCAACCTTAATTTATCTATTTTTTTATTGTACCGATCTTTGATGCTAGGGAAGTTTAAAAAAAATAAATTGGAATAATAGTAAATATTTCTTAATTTATAATACATTTAAATTTAATACTATTTTTTGAAAAATTACTTTAATTATTTATCAACTATAAATCATCATATTTTAAAAAAGTAAAATATATTTTGTAATAAAAAAATTTTTATGAATTATCAAAAGCAGATACTATTTTTAAAATAAAAGTTTGCGAAATAATAACGTAATTAAATGGAGTCCATAGTCTTTAGGAATCAATAAATAAATTTAAGAAAATAAATATTATATTTTATTATGTGAATAAAGCCAGGATTTA